CATTGTCTGTCTATCTACTCTTTACGCTCTAATACCTCTTTTTGTCATTGTCTGTTTATCTACTCTTTACGCTCTAAGACCTCTTTTCCTCATTGTCTATCTATCTACTCTTTACACTCTTATATCTGTTTTTATCATTGTCTGTCTATCTACTATTTACACTCTAATTCCTCTTTTTGTCATTATCTGTCTATCTACTTTTTACGCTCTAATACCACTTTTTGTCATTGTCTGTCTATCTACTCTTTACTCTCTCAGTCATTTTTTTGTCATTGTCTATCTATCTACTCTTAACACTCTTACTCCTCATCTTGTAATTGTCTATCTATCTACTCTTTACACTCTAATAACTCTTTTTGTCATTGTCTGTGTATCTACACTTTACACTCTCACTCCTCTATTTGTCATTGTCTGTCTATCTATCTACTCTTTACACTCTTATCCAACTGAGGCCTCACTCGGTGGACCTTACTCTGTGTGTAAACAAGTGGGAAATTGTGAACGAACCAAGTCCGAAATCATCTGGCATAGTAGTTTTTATGGTTCACAGCATCAGACAGTGGACTTGGTGCATTCGCAAACGTTTTACCGGCATCGTAGTCGGCATCATCAGTCAGTTTTGCCATTTTCTGCACAAAGCTACGAACTCCTCAAAGAGACAAGATTCGTATATTCGTATATTTTACGAATCCATGAATTTATATTTATCTTTCGATACAAAACAGCTAAGATGAAATTGCAGGAAATAATTAAACTTAGGTACATTTTAAAGATATTAAGTCCCAAATGGTGTAGTCTCTTCGACGAGTTTGTAGCTTGGTGCGAAGAATATCAAAACTGAATGATGATGTCGACTACGATGCCGGCGGAACCTCCGAGAATGTATCAAGTCCGCTGTCTAATGCTGAGAATCATGACAACTAATATGGCAGACGACTTCGGACTAGGTGCGTTTTACATAGTCGCCGTGACAACAGGACAAAGTTGCGACAACGAGGTCAACCCACTTATATAAATCGAAAGAATACTGCGACCATACCAGAGGCCACAACATCTCGGTCTTCAAATTTTAATAAATGTGACCTGTCCACGGTCTTGCTGACCTTACAAGTCACATCAGCCCCGTAGTCCACTAGTCTCCATGACTATGTAGCGTAGTATTGGGTTGTGTCGCCACAATTTTCATCATCCGCTCTCGACCTCCGTCAGCGGTGTCGATAAGCCCAAGCTGAGAGCGAATCTGCAATCAAGCCTGGACGAGAAAGCTTTTTGGATGCAAAGACAAAATGGAATTGGATCGTATTCACCCTATTTCGTTCAAAGTGGTTGGACTGTTTCCCACAATCACATGAATGTACATTATCTTTAATTCAATTTCACATGTACATTCTTTACCCAAAACCACACCCGAATGGACTGCAGTTCCGACCTCGCCTAGCACTTGTCAACACTCCCGGCAGGACTCGAACCATGACAGGTCAGATTGCCACGAGTGCCGTTGTGTCACAAAGAAGATGGGCATTTCAAGAAAGAGCAGCACTTTCGACGTGTCCCATTCTGTGCTGGCATTGCCGATGAAGCCAGCTTAAACTTGTCAGCAATTCGCATCTGCCCCAAGAGCACTCGAGGCGATGCAGCGCAGTCGGCAGCAAGTTGAGTTCATTCGCTGCAGTCTCATGGTTCGAGTCTCGCCGGTGGTGTCTATTAGAACAGCTTTTGGGGTAGCAAGGCTGTGATGTGAAATATAATGAAACTGTCATGTCTAGTCATATTGTTGTGGGAAAAAATTCAATTGCCAGTCCTGCTATCATCTTAAATGCAATAAAATGAATACACATCACATGTAAATGATGTACTGGTAGTCTTGAAAACCTTTTTATAAACGAAGCAAAATGAAATGGGTTTGGTTTTTCAGAAAAACTTGCTGGAATGAAGACTAAGATGGTGTGGATTTGGGCTCGAGTGCTTAGAGTTAGCCAATTGGAGAAGCAGAAGTTGGCCGATGTGGAGGATTGTGGGTGTAGGTGATTGGGTTTCGTGTAATCCACTTGATCTGGCACACTGTCCGGCGGCTGCGGGATAAAAGCGAGCATAGAGCCGAGTGTGGCTGGGCAGATTGGCTACGCCAAAGTTGGGCTGACCGAGGAGAAGTGAGTTGTAGGCGAAAGGACGAGATAAAGTGGGAAAGGGCACTGCGATTGGACTGAGGCTCGGTCCGAAGGACGTTGCGTTTCGACGACCAACCTGTACTGCGAGACCGAGTAAATGGTCTCAGAATCCGACGAGCTACATTCAAATGCTGCAAATGATCCCAACTGCTGTGGAAGAGGAAGCAGGAATAGATAAACGTTACCTCAAAAGATTTGCGGGAACTAGCTCATACTAAAGAGTGTGTGATTGTTAATTTAATATCCGATTACTTGTCTTAATTTATGGATTCTATCTCCGGTTAACTTTCAGTCTGAGTAATCCAAGACGACTAGATCCATTCTACACCCAGCTTGGCGTGTTTCCGGAAAAAGATATCATCTGGTTGTGCCTCTTTTCTCGGGCTTTCGACACTTAACGACCAATATCGGAATTCCATCCAATAATCTGAATAGAAAACCTACTTCCTACGAATCGAGTAGTATCGTCAATTTTAATGTAAAATGCCATTTTGCTCTACCATAATTAAAATCCTAAATTAAAAGAGACTTGGCTCCTCTTGAAAGTCATACCCCTCCCCCTTGCGACGCGGTTCGACGACCTGCGTTCGAATGGCGAAAAGAAGAGGATCACACAAGCATATAAACTCATATGGCAGCAAAAAATGATATTTGCGTTGATCAAGTCTTGCAGGGTTTTAATTAATATCCCCACTTAATGCTGTTAACGTGACTTGACTTTGTATTTTGCAAGCGGCTGATGATGAGTTTTGTGGATTTGTCTCATCGAAAGATGAGGGAGCCTTCCAGAAGCCCGGGTTGACGCAATGCGTGGGCACATTCCTGTTCTGATTTGGGGAAAAATGGCTGAGCTGTTGTCTACAATGCCACTTGACAGACATCCGCAGAGTTGGATCTCGTTCTTGCGAACATTTCAGGCCAGCTCAAATCCAACAAGACTACATTTTTTGTGAGTATGCTTGAAAAGTGAGTTCTTTTCTAAAAGGGCTAATCTGCAGTGACTTACATGCGGCACATGTTTGGAGAAAACACAAAGTGAAAACATGGAAATAAATCTTCACTTTTTTAGTCACTTTTCACGACACTCTAAGTGACCGTATGGATGTGTGTGTGTGTGTGTGTGCACACACATTCACGTGTACACATCCGAGCACAATACTGGCAGTCGTGACTCCGACTAAGTAGAACCGGGCGCTGATGCAAGCGTTAGTTGTAAAACATTAATGGCACACACACACACACACACACACACTCAAATTGATGTCGTGAGCTGTTTGGATGAGCAGAGTGGAAGTGAGAATAAGTTCAAGTGTCTCTCTACAACATTTCTCTCACAGCAAGTCTACCCACTCTCTGATTGGCATTTCATAAACTGTCGATTTGGACAGTCTTTCTAAATGGGACTCTAGAAGCAGACGTTGCAGACGTATCTGGTTTCTGTCATGCGTCCCGTCTCTTCCGACCGTTGGAGCAAGCAAATTTGTGCTCGTCCTAATTTTGGTAACCATAGCGACAGGTTTCACGAAGCCAATGGAAAGCTGATGCGAGCGGTACGTCTCAAACGAAGGCGACTCATTTTTCGCCAAAAGTAGAAATAACCAAAAAGTTGGATCATGCCAAATTTCTTGTTTAACACTTGCTGAACTCACTTCCATCTCAAAGGAACGTATGTGCTGAAGAGGCTGCAAAGACAACAACCAACGCAGTCCTCAAGGCCAGTTTTCGGTTGACTCTTCTAGAAAATTCTTGCGGATGCTGTGCCCTGAGGCAATCGGCCTCAATTCAAGTGGAAACGTGCCAAGCTTTCATCCGTCATATGATGCAAATCATCAGAGCAGACTATACTCCTTATGGCCATATCCAAGCCAACGATGCAAGAAAGCTCATCGGCTTCCATAAATACAATACATACATACACACATACATACACATACACATACACATACATACATAGAAACATACATACATACATTA